CAAACAGGAGTCGTGATAAGAAATAAATAGGTCTATTTAGACCCCAAATGTGATGGTGGTTTTACTCGCTTATTTAATTTGAACAAGTGTAGTCAATCAGCCTTTTTCACAACATATGCCCATGCACGAACGAATGCTCTTGAGGAAGAGAAAAAGAATGCTGAAAGGAAGGAGGAAAAAGTGAGACCGACTATGGTTCTGATAAGCTTTTCTCTGCCCGAGTCAGGGTTGAGTTCCTGTTTATTCAGAATTTCAACTTCCCCATACTATGTGTAACAATTTAAGAAGATTCTAGATAGCCTGTCGATTCCCTTTCTCTATATAGAGATTATTCACCACAAGATAACGATACATTACTTATGTTGTAAAAGCTACGAATGAATAAACCCGGATCCTGATATATATACAAACAGACATAGAATCTACTCAACTGAGGCCACAACGCGGTAATTACAACTGAATCATTTCAAGTCTTTTCAAAAGTTTGAAGGCTCAAAACTGCTCCGTGGAAACATGAATTGACACTTGAGAACTCCTGTATTTCGATTCTAATCCCCACAGCGCTGAGAATGCATTTGAAATTAATGTGAAACAAAAGCAAAGAATCGTCATGGTAATGTCTTCATACCTTGTAAAATGTCTCTACCTAATGAATTTTATATCGCGACTCCAGGGTATGTAGCAACGAACAGATGCTTTTGGCATTAACAATATTCCCGATCCGATCTAAATAGAAAATGGCCGTAATTACAAAGCAAAATAATTATAAAAACGAACTAAACTTAGTACTAGTTTTAGCACTGACGCCATTACGATTTTAAAAATGTTCCATAAAACGTTAATTATCACTTTTGTTTACATTTTTTGCTGATATTTTATGTTGCAACTTTGCAGTTATGATACATCAGTGGAAATAAAAAAAGGGATTACATATACATTATAATTAATATGACATAGCTGAAAATTTAGCATGGGGCGAAAAAACCCGTAGGGAAACCATGAGGCTTATGCGAGCTACAGGCTCCTCATATTTTACCAAAGTGAGGTATCAGTTTTATGGCGTGATTTAAGTACAAAATATTTTAGGTTACATGCAACATGAAACTAATAGAATCTAAAGTTTATTCCATTTTCAAAATATTCGTTCGTCAAACATTAAAACTTCACACCAGGGGTAGAGAATCAATCGGATGATATATAAGGCCCCCTGAAGTCATATCAAGACTTCTTTAAACGTTTCTTACGTGACTTTCTAAAAAAACTTCACGCTTAAGAGTAACAAACAAAGAAACTGAATAAATTACCACAGGCGATAAACCAAGAGAGATGGAGATGTGTTTTCAATTGCCTCTAAACAATAAGTATAATACCACGGGCTCATTTAAGACCACATTAATTTGCTTGCTGAAGGCTACAATCAAAATCAATCAAGGTATGTTCATAACTTCTCGTCCAGAATTTGTGTCTGACGTAAGATTCACCTCTACTCAAACTTGCGGCAAACAAATTGAAAAGGCCAGTTTAACTAAAACATAAATAAACATTAAGCAGTTCCCTTAGCAATATGTCTTTCACCACATGAACGCTCAACAATTA